TCGAAGCCATCTTCAGTCGAACGAAGCCCCCACGCGCACGCTTCTGATAGCGGTCTGGGTTCTAGCATCGGTGGATCGAAATACGGTATGCACTCACTGCAGCAGCCCGTCTTGGACTGTAGCCCACAGCAGGCTAACATATATAAAGACGAGATCCGCACCCAACGCTCCAGCGTCCGCGAGTCCATCAGCAGCTCCATTAGCTCAACCCACTCGGCCGTCACGCGGTCCTTTTCTGCTCTGGGCGCGTCCGAGGAGGACCACACTCTTGGCGAGTACGCTAGCAAACAGATTCACGACCTCATTATCAAGCCCATCCTCGCTGAGGAGTCCCTGAAGGACTTTCACTCGTTGATTGAAGACGTTCCTCGACGCATAGGTGAGAAGAATATCCGCAACCTTCGTGATCTTGAAAAGACTCTCATCTTCCTGGCACCGGTAAGTGGTATCCGTTATCTTTCTGAGAGTGCAAAAGCTTATTGCATTTTGCGCGGTTTTAAGGAGTTGTCGGCGACCCCGGAAACATACTCGCACTTCTGCGAACGATCAATCCAGCTTTTGGCGACGACTGTCCAATATCTTTCCGAGCAAGACCAGCGACTACCATCCGATCGCCCTTATACTGACGGCTACTTCCTTGATTTGATGGACCAGATTCGACGATACGCTTCAATCATGGCTGCTACAAGAGAGAGAGAAAGCAAGGGTGAAGACCTGGATGAAATGGACTACTCACGGTATGATCACGCCGCCAGCTTTCTATTCACGCGCACGACTAATCGAGCATGTTACAGCGATGAGAAGATCACTCTGCGTGGTGGACTCAGCCACAACGGCCGGCCCGTTGAGCTAGTCAGGGTGAGGGATGGTAAAGTCGTTCCTCTCGCTGAAGGCGCCGAGAACGTCTACAGGGGAAAACGGGCTCTTTCCGATGACGACATGGATGACGACGAGGTCACCCGTTCCATGGCCCGACGACGCAAGTCTGAGAAGGCGGGAGACGTCATGCACACTTGCCGTGACTGCAAGAAGGAGTTCAAGCGCCCATGCGATCTGACGAAGCACGAGAAGACCCACTCTCGTCCGTGGAAGTGCTCTGAGAAGAACTGCAAGTACTTTGATCTCGGCTGGCCGACTGAGAAGGAACGTGACAGGCACATGAACGACAAGCACTCTGCTGCTCCTGCGCAATACAAGTGTCTTTACCCGCCCTGCACATACGCCTCCAAGCGTGAGTCGAATTGCAAACAACACATGGAGAAAGCCCACGGCTGGGAGTACGTTCGCTCCAAGAGTAACGGCCGCAAGAAACATGACAACAGAAGCGACCGCAGCCCCGCAACGCCACTCACTCCCTTCATCGGGACGCCAATGTCAGCGACAATGACAACACCAGTCACGCCCTTCGCGCCATCACCGCAACTGCCCATGATCGAGAACTTCGATTACTATGGTTTTGCGACCCCGGCGCTGAGCGCACACGGTTTTCAGGATGACTTCCGTCGGGATTCAGTCACGACTGACGGTTCACACTTCACGTACTCATCTGGACACTCACCCCTTGAGCCCACGTCTTTTGATGATGCTGTGACACCCGAAGATGCGGCTATCAACCACAATGACGTTTACAACAGCTGCAACCTGGGTGTAAACTTCAACACCGGCTTCCAACAGCCAACGCCTGCCTTGAGCGCCACGTACGATTGTGAGCCACTCGCGTTTGCGGCGAACAGCGCCATGAATGGTGTACCACACCTCTCCCCCATGGCTCAGCCTGACGTTACCCTCTACTCACCACGTGATATGCCTATGGATGAGGGCTTTGGCGATATGGACATGAGCATGGGCATGGGCATGCCGACATTCGGTCGACCGAATGCGGACTTTACGTTGTTCGACCCCGCGCCACCGGGCCAGATGCCACTTACCAACACTGGCAACTTCTTCCCAGACTTTCATCAGCTGGGTGGACAGTTCGACAACTTGTACACTGAGCCAAACACAACTTTGGAAGATCTCAACTTTATGAGATTTGGGAACCCGCAGTAAATTTCATACTGCATTGTATACGATGAGCGGTTATTTGAATAGCTATGTTTCACATTTCTTGTTTCTACGCAGGCGTTGCTCTACTGAGTTGGTGTCTCGGGGTTGTTTAGCGCAGAGCAATATTATTGATACGTAAGAGATGGACATGTAATATGGGCATGCATTTAACGGCCATTTCTTCACGCTGCCACAGGTGTGGTAGGAACAGAACAGAAAATCCACAAAAACAAACGACCTTTGTTTGCGCGGGTTTTCCTTCCTGCGGCTGATCTCCCCCCTTCTTCCTTGTACGGAGTACTCAAGGCGTGGTTGAGATCGTCAGATAGTGTAGGATAGAACAACATAACAAATATTGATGGAAAGGGAAGTCGTGCACCCAGACGGTGACTCTTCGACAGTGACACACCACACACACAGGCACTACTCGCAGAATGATGACTCCCAACTCTCATGGGATTTTCGTCACCGCACCACCCTGAACATGGGTCCCGATAACGACCAAGCTGATGTGTGGTTCTGTCGTAGCGAACCGGTTGACATGATGATCAGGTGGTTCCGCGTCAGGCGGCTTGGTGGCACTAGCGCTTGTGAGCTGAGACCAATGGGGCGTCAGCATGCACGGTTCTGTTTCAAGAGCTCAAACCCCTCGCGATGTCGTTGCCGCCTTGCTAACCGTCATTCTCTTTCTCGTGAGACGAGCCTGTCACTCCCTTGACAGCCATTCTTGTCGCTCTCTACAGCAATATCATTAGGTCCATTGCGACCATTACCGTCACTATACAGGTTACGCTGGCCGTGCCTGCACTCGCCCGTCGGCAGTAAGCGCGTCATTCCTAATCGAAGTGTTTCCATTTGGTCCTATTCGTATCAGCTGCCTTGTACAGTAAGATGTTGGGCTTTCACCGAAGGACGCGAAGTTTGATCCCGGTGAAGGATCTGGGCAAGTATGACAAGGTGGCCCTGGTCGAGGAGAAAGAGGAGCAATATGCCGAAGAAGAGACAGAGAGCCACGATGCACCAGATGGTACGGATGCGTCGCGACGGACGCAATTGCTGCTGGTGTACCTCGTCTTTATCGCTGAAGCGTAAGCCGTCATCCATTCCGCCTCGATTGGCACGAATCGCATTCTCAAACCTCGAGCTCACACAATACACAGCATCATGGCCTCAGGTCTCCAGCCACAGCTGCAGATGCTCCTCTCCTCGTCCGACTTCTGCGGCAACCTGTCGTCATCCTACCTGCGAAGCATACTCGAATGCGCATACGCTTTCGGGGGAACAACAGGTCTGTTTTGGGGCTACCTTGCCGATCGCATGGGAAGACGGCGCGTCACACTCATTGGGCTCTGGAGCATGGTTATTTGCTGCTTGAGCATGGGCTTTGCGACGACCTTGTTGAGCTGCACCGTCTTCCGCTTCTTCGCCGGCATGCTCAGCTCCACAATCCTGTGCACAACTTTAACCATGATTGGAGACCTCGGCACGACGGCGCAGGAACGAGCGAGGAATGTTGCTCGTCTGCCCTTGATCTCGCTCTGTGGATCTATGGGACCGCTTGTTATGCAGGCTATGGTCTCGGAGAGCCTACAGGCGTACAACATGGTCTGGCAGCAATTTCCCACCCTAGGCTCGGAGCTGGCGTGTGGAAGCGTACTGTTCGCCATTGCGCTTACCGCTACTATCATGCTCAAGGAGACGCTGCCCTTCCACAACGAACGATCAACCGAGCCCGTCGACATGGACTGCGAGCGGGCTGCTTTCCTTCGCCGCGGTTCAGAGGACACCAACGTCACGCTTGTCGATTTCGCTCGCCCAGAGCCCATCACCATCTCCCAATTCCTTCAAGCTCCTTCGCTCATGGTTCTCCTCTCTTCGTTCTGCCTGCTATCGCTCCACGCTTCGACCTTTGACGTCGTCCTTCCTCACCTTGGCCACAGCAGTACCGAACACGGTGGCATGGGTATACCCTGCGACTTGCTCAGCGTTGTCGTACTTGCTCTCCGCGGTATCGCAGGTCTTTTCATCCACTACGGCATTCCTTATGCCACGGAAAAGTACGGCCTCCTGAAGCTTTACCGCTCTGTATCCGCTTTCTTCCCTGCCGTCTATGTTATCACCCCTCTGCTAGCTTTCGTCGGCGCTTGTTCAGGCCTCGCGCCAATCATCTCAGTGCTCTCTATCCTGGCCAAGCACCTCCTCAGCGGCAGTGCATCCGTACTTGTCGCCCTCCTCGTTCTCAATACCACACCGGACGCCTTCTCCGCCGGCACCGTGGTCGGCATGATGCAAGTTGCCAGCCTCTTCAAAGCTCTTGCTGTCGCCGTCAGTGGTACGAGCTACTACTTTAGCGACGATCTGAGCGTCCAGACTACCAACTTCGCGCTCTGGGCATGTCTCGCGCTGTTCGGTATGGTCGGTGCCGGACTTGCGTGGTTTGTCCGCGAGCGCCCGAGCGTGGAGAAGGACTTTCCCAGCGAGGTCCTGTGCTGGGAAACGTGCTTTGATGCGGATGCAGAGAAGCAATTTGACTTGGAAGGTAGTGATGCGGATACAGATGTGGACGTCTAGTCCCAGAAGATGAGGGCGAGACTGATTTGCATGTCTTTATGTATCTATGCCGCGGCACTGGCTATTTCCTTACCTTTTATGTCGTTCTCCTGTTTAGCCCTCATATTACTCTTCTCTGCTGTAGTTATGCGTAGTTATATACCAGTTATATACCAATATTTTTTCTATAACCCTGTGTCAAATAAGACCCCAATTCAAATAGTAGCCTTGCTTGCTATGTGGCATTGTGCGACAGTGGTAAAATATGTCTTGACAAGATTAGAGAGATAGAAAGGGGGAGCCAAAAAAAATAAGAGACCAAAACCAAACAGCACACACAATCTATACATTATTGCCTCCCTCCCTCACTCCCAATCCACTAAGAAAGGCAAAAAAAGAAAGTTTGGACGCTGTGGGAATTGAACCCACGACCTTTCACAAGTACGCACATTGTGATTATGCGAAGCGACTAGCACGTTGGTTAGGAGTTGTTAACCAGGGAATGAGTGAGACCGCTTACAAATCATACCCCTAGACCAAGCGCCCGTTTGTTGGTTGATGGAGGACTCGTCAAAATTTAAATATATAACAGAAGATAAATTGGGTGGAGAGTAGAGAGGCTTTGGAAGAGATGGTGGGGCTACTGAAGATCGGCGGAGCTGTGCGATGGGGCTCGGCTTTTTGCGCTTGCGAGTTTAAATGTTGTGTTAGTTTTCATATGGACTAGCTTAGGTACGTTGGACCCGCTGACGTCTAACGAACTAGGGAAACAGTTTTGTTAATTGTAATGTGCTTTATTGCTTACGATCCATTCTTACCTATCTAGAAGGGATGTTCCTTGTTCTTTTGTTAAGACTGAGGATCTCGATGAACGCTGGACTGACTCCACCAAGTATAAATCGTGGGCGGCTTCCGGAGGACTGGAAACACACCGCAGATGAGGGTCTTTCATTCTTGTTCAACTTCACGGCATGCTAGGACCCGATTTACTATTCTTGGGAAGATAAGGGTGAATACAAACGCGCGTTTAGCAGCTGCGCCTCTATCAACACTGTTGAATATTCGAAAATTTGGAACCGTCAGGACTGGAGAAAGACATGAAGTTCTCACAACCGGGAATGTGGTTAATCCTTAGGCGAAAAGGGCTTTTAAGTTCAGAGTTGCTAGAGAATACGCTCAATTACCTATAGCTAGGCTTTACCGTAGAGGCTGGATAGCCTGTAGCTCGCTGAGGTAGTTGGACAGATGCCGTCCCGTCGTCTTCACTTATGCGCGCCCAAATACCCGTCAAAGACAAACCCGGATTGAGAGCCATACCTAAATATCGTAGTCGACCAACTGTCACCCTCCTAGGCGTGCGATTCGATCACGGTAGGCATAGGGATCGATGTGTTGCGCTGAATGAAGGAGATAGCACCCACTTTTCTCTCAACTTTACGATAAGGTGCGTTCCGTACTTGACGAGAATCAATTCGTTGCATTTCTGAGAATCGGCTTGGCTATGGGCTGAGGGTGCGGAAAAACGCAGGTGCAGTGGCTGGCGCTGGGAAGCACGGAAGTTTATGAGGTGCGCGGCGAGTCGGCGTGTCGAAGCGGCGTGTCGGCATTTCAAAAGCCCCGACATCTGCAGCTTCAACCAATCGGCGTTCCGGCCCATCGCTTCCGCCGACCAACACGTGACCCTGTAGCCTAGCGCCGCGCGCACGTGACGTCCGTGCTAGCGCGGGCCCCTTCGTGTATATATACCCTCCCCCCTCCGGCCCTGCGTTCAAAAAATCATACTTACCTTCTTGCGATCACCCAGCTCAAAGATTGGGTTGATCTAATGGTCTCGTCTGCATGGCACATCGCGGTACAGGACTATTACGAGCTTCCTCCGGGAATCTCGGCGGGACAATTTTTGCTGGCCTGCACCTTTGGTGTGCACCTTTTTCATTGATTTCGTCGCCTATGGGCGGTGGATTGAGGAAGAAGATTGTGGTGGGCAGGTGAGAGTGAGTCTGGTGGGTTGTTGTGGTGAGGCAAGGCTTTGTTGTCGCTGTTTTCGCGCTTTGATATGGAAGGCTCGACACTGCGCACCTGTTGTTGTCTGCTGTGGTGGTGTCGCAATTGGATCGCACCGTGGATCAACTGCGATGCTGTAGTTTCTATTGCTGGTCACCTCCCAACGCTGTGTGTACGTGAAAGCGTTCGCCGGCAACGTGCTTTTTCGTCGCGAAAAAATCGACCTGCCATCTTCCGTAACCTCCACCATGCTCTCACCGTACCGTCCTCACCGTCGCCGCATCTACCGCTCACGCCAATACCGTCAACCTGCCGGCGACCTCGGCAACTCTCGAGCTTGGTCGTTGTCTTGCTTTGCGCGTAGACACGCACGTTCACATACATACCCACTCTCCATTCGTTGATCGACGCTCTCGCGGACAATGGTGTAACGAGCAACTGAAGACCGTACGCTTGTAGCTCTTGTAGTAGTATAGCTTGTCGGCTAAGTGTTTCCTCGGGCTACTACTTGGATAACGTATTTATTTCGGGCGATGCACAAGAGTCTGGAATCGCGATAATACAAGATGAGGACTGTGTCTTAGGCATACATTTATTGATACTCATCCCACTTGAGAATCTTCCTTCTCGTGTCCCTGGCGACCGCTCCGCAAGCTCTCAATCACCACAATTCTGCCTGTCTGCATACGCTGACAGCGCTGTCACCCCGTGCCCCGCCCACTCTCTGCATCAGAAGATTCTCGAAAATCGCTAATAGTCCATCAACGCTCCCGCCATCCTCCTCTGGTACTTTTCAATCACTTCCTGACACCTCACCACCACACCAGCAGCCAACACCCGAACCCTCTCGTCCTCCTCGCTCCCCGCCGCCAGACCCTCAAATACCATCTTGACCCAAGCCTGTGTCTCCATGAGCTCTTTGCCCTGCTCGGTTGCCAGTCTCTCTTTGTTCTCGTTAGTTTCGAGCAGCATCAAGAACCCAAACAGCGCCGCGTTCAAGATATTCTTATCTTTGCTCGCCAGTCCGCGCACCGAGAGTAGGAGATCCCAGTACTCGCGCGTCATCTGTGGTAAAGCAACCGTGTTCGGTCCGGATGCGTTCATGAGTAGCGATAGGGTTTGCAAGAACGGTGGGAGAAGATGCGTAGATGAGTATATCGAATCGTTGTTCGCGCGAATCTGTAACCACCAGCGCCCCGTGAGTGGAAAGAAGAAGTTATCGGCTACAATCTGGGCTAGCGCGTTCGGTATAGGTTTGTGTCGCTTCTTCTCGACATCCATGCGCGATGAGAAGCTTCGGACTTTGAGGATGTTGGGCCCGCTGAGTTGGTCGGCTGCTTGTGAGGCAATGGGTGAGAGCATTTCGCGCGCCATGCTGCTCGATATTTTGGCCACAGTGGGCGCGTTGTTTTCTTCGGCGTAGATCTTGTGGAGGTGCGGTGGGAGTTGCTTGCTCGGAAAGGACGACTGTGCTGGGATCAAATCTTCGGTTGAGGAGTCTTTCATGCCGGCAAGTTCTCGCGCTCCGAGACCGAGTGTGGTAAGCATAGCTATACGCTGCGTGAAGCTGTAGTCGCCGGAAAAGAAAGATCGTGCGAACCATTGCGCCATCTGAGCGGGTCGTGCGAGTAACACGGCGATCAGAGCTTGCTGTCGTTGCTGTACAAAGCCATCTAGCTCCGAGTTGTCTTGTAGTCCCGTCAGAAGCGTGGCAAGTTCTTCAAGATGATCAGTTACTTCGGTTCCGAAGTTGGCTTTCCGCCGAATCAAGGGTGCAGCAGTGGCTAAAGCCAGTTCGTGTCGGTCGTAGTTTTCTTGATCGCGTAGGCCTGCGATGAGGTCGCGGATGTACACCGGTGCGTTGGGCTTATTGCGGTTTATGGCTGTTGGATCGTCGGTGGCGTCTTCTGGATCAGAGTCTATCTTCTCGTACACCATCAGATCTGCATCCTCGTCCTCCGAATCAGATAGAACCTCCACAACTCGCGGGCCCTGTATCTCGGTGATCACCGGGGCTTTTGAGGATCTCTGAATTGGCGTAGGCTTCCGTCGCGCCTTCTTTACATTTGCGCCGTCTCCATCTTTCGTCTTGAGATCTGACACTGCCCCAACTTTGTCGTCGGTTTCAGTGAGGCGCTGATACCATTCAGCTTCTTGTACTTCAGCACCTTCTAGCTCAAACTTCAACTGCAGTTCCGGCTTGTCCACCATCTTCGAGATAGCCACACCAACTGCGATTCCGAGAAATCGGGCTCGTGCTGATGCGGCACCAATGCGATTCGACATGCCGTTCACATGGTATGTTGATTTTGCCATCATGGTGAGAAACATGGGCTGTGAGCGCTGGATGTAACCGCTGCATAACGCCAAAGTCTGAGCAAGAGCTGTCGTTTGTCAGTCAAATTGGACCGGAAGGACGAGTTACCATTTACCTTCTTGCTGCAGTACCGGCATAACTCTGACGTAGATAGAGTCTCCGAATAGCTTTATGCTGTTCTCCAGGAGAGTATGCAGCTTTTCTATCACTTGTTAAATCCCCGTGCCAGAAAATTTGGCCTACATACGGACCTTCATCTTTGGCTAGAGCGGCCATCACGCTTCTACGAGCGGACAGGGAATCGTCCAAAGCGGGTATTGTCGATTTAGTAAGTGACGTAATGAGATGATCTTTCAAGATATCGTTGTCTTTGGTGAGGATGTATATCAAACCACCAGCAGCAGATATGGTGTTAGTGGGCACGTTGGACGCATCATCTTTGCTAATGACTTCGGTGGAGAAGTATCGCCCGACCACAAACGAGATGATCGCGTTCATGTACTTTCGCTGCTCGAAAGTCTTCATCCGAGTTAGGAGATCCGCAAGACGCTCAATAGAACCACTGCTAATCAGTACCGGAAGTAGCGAGCTAACAATGCGATCTAGGCCATCAGCATCAGTCGACAGCTTCAAGCAGCCGACATACCAGTGTAACCAAGTCCCAGCGCCTTCGAGCAAAGCTCTACCACCGCAACGAGATACTCCTCGTTTTGGCCGCCGTGCTCAACCAGGAAAGCGATGTTTCGTCCTAACCATGCCGCGTATTGGTTGCCGTCTGTAATCCAGCTAGCCATATTTGGAGTATCAGTCTTTGTGATTACGTCCTCGGCTTCGGCTGAGATCGACAGTATACGTCCCGACACTGCTTGTGCGAGATACTCTCTCCATATCAGCTTCTTCTGCGCGGGAATTTTGCCAATTGCCAGGATATCCAGTAATACAAGACCAGTCGTCTTCTCATCACGCAGTATCGACTCCAAAATCTCAAATGCGTCTGAGATATGTTCGGCTGTGTTACGCGCTTCGCCAGGTGCTTTCTTTTGACGACTGTCCGCAATGAGCGAGCGAAGCCTCGTGATAAGATGTCCAAGACAAGTCGGGTTCCGGAGGACTTTCTCGAGCTTTCTTGCATCGGTGGAATTTCTGATCGTTCTCCAGTAGCTAGGGATGGTGTCATTGACTAGTTGGTGTGCGATGCTTGCGTTGAGTGGTTCCGGGAGTAGGA